TACGTTGAGCACAGTGTACAGTAGGCAAGTTAAATGAATGAGACAACGTGGAGCGCTTGTAGTCAGTGAACGGGGCGGCCGTGAAATGTGGTGCGGTTGTGTTTGCATGGGCTGTCCCTCTCTTCTTCATCAACCACCTCCATTGTGCATTCTCCTCAATACGCGTGAGCTTATTTGCAAATTGTGACTTTGTAGGAGATCGCGCATTCAGGTGTAAATGACAGGAGAGTCGCTCGCTCGACCCGTGCGGGGTAGTACCGCGCCGGGTATGGTATTTTAAAGGACTTTGGCCCTGAGTTGGGGTGGAAACACGATAACAGTGCAGTTAATGGGCTGTCTTATTAATTACCGTGTGCGTCGTGATTTTTGCTTTCAGCCCTTGGCCGAGAAAACGTCGCTACACTGGCTGTACCACACGGTGTTTTCTTAGTCTTTACGACGACTATACATAATAATGACTTTTAGTAGGCACTCATTCAGTGCTATGGCTTTGTTTACTTATGAGCCTGTGGTGCCTATTAAAATAAAAATGTGGCTACAGACGTTAAATTGTGACAAACGCATTAAATACGTATACCAGGCCTCGAGATTGATCGTTTTTATTTTTTCGTATTTTTTTTTTAGAGGCTTCATACAGTAGCTGATGCTCATCCCCAATTAAAACACATAGATATGGAGATCAAAGAGCTACTGTCCAGTTGAAGCCAGAGTTGGTGGATAAAGCAGTTTATAGTTATAAGAGAGGAATCTGGCATTATTTAGGTCTACAGGATTTATTTTGCTTGCTTGTAGGACTGTTGTTTTGCTATAATACACTTAAACTTATTTGCTGATTGCAAGTCCCATAGATATAACAGGTGTATAGCCTGTGTTATATAGCCTCATAGCAGTGGGCGTTTCTCTCCCCAACCCCAGACACAATGTTCAGTGCAATGAAATGGTTAAAGCCCTGAATTACAATGTACTTAAATTGGACAGCAGTGAGGAATCCATTCATTTCAAAGCAACCCAGACATATTATATGAACAGATCAGGGCTTTTAAAGACATTCATAGATTTTTAAAATATATTTTTTTTAAGTTTGAAGTTAAGTTTTCTTGGTCCAGATTAATAATATTTTATTAATACTGACAATATCGCTTCCTTTTTGATAATTACACACATATTACTATGCAGTATATTTTATTTAGCTCATATAATCACATTAAGTTTTCAAAGTTTTTACACATTTTTTCCTCTCGTATGTATCCAATACAGATTCAACCATCACTCTAAAACGACCTTCTGTTGTGCTGCTGTTCTACAGTCAAACAATGCAGCTCATTAGCTCTGTCAAGGGATGTCCAGAGGTCATGTGATTGGGCATTTGTTTCTTTGTCTGATCAACAACAGACCTTAAAGACTAGGGTTACATATGCTGCAAATTCATGCCAGTCAGTGAAGTCTACTGTGATGACTTCGATAACCCAGTGATCTTTCTCTAGCGCCACCATCAGACAAAGATTAGAATTTATTTAATGAGTGGCTCCCATAAAGTGTTTTTATGGCAGGGTTGCCCAAAGTGGGGCCAGTGGCCAACAATGGCTCGCCAAAAGGTTCAATTTGGCCTGCCAGATATTTCTATTATTATACTATTCAAAAAATAAAAAATTAAAAGAAAATAATGTAAATTGCTGTTATGCTGTTTTATTGTTTGTGATGTAAAAGTCTCTTTAAATATTGTATGTAGGAGCCCTAATATTTAATATTTTTTCATAATAGTGGGCAGAATGACACTTTGCAGAGAAATTCAGTAAATTAAGGGGACTTAAGATGGTAGTACCATTTTAGTGCAATAGGTGTTTGCTTTTGGACCCTAGCCCACCAATACATTCTACTTTTGGCCCTCTAAGGGAAAAAATGTGGGCACCCCTGCTTTGTGGTATCTCCTGTAACATATACAGACACTTTACCTGCTGTGCAGTAGTAAAGTTGATCATAACCAATAGTTAACAAAACTTACAAAACATATTATAGAAGAATTGTGCATATATGTTTCTGTTTAGATTCACATTTCCAGTAAGTAAAATACAGATTTTTGTGACCTCCTGACCCAACCTCTAGCGCCAGCATGGGCAAAGCCTTCAGATATAGGCGGAGGAGCGATGGGCGTCCATTGTGTAGGCCAGCCTGCTAAAATTTCAGGAGGTATATCTGACTTTAAAGGCTTTTCCTGTGTGTTTAAATGTGGTAGTGGGGGTGGGGTGCTAAAATAGAGAAGATGTCCATGTTCATCGTGATTTGCTAAATGTAGTCATATGCCCACTGAAGACAATACTAAAACCATACGTGCCTAAGAAATGATTATTTCTGGATGCAGTTGATGAGGAAATGGGTATCTAATAAATATCCTTCTGCTTAGCAGCTAATAGAAACAAAGAAAAATGGCTGACACAGAGTTTATTCTTATCCTTGAATTAAGAATGGGAAGGGTGAACTGATTCCAAATGCCAATCACAACCCAGACTCAGGCCACATGTCTGCCTGTGATGCTGCCTGTCTGTGTCTCATTTTGCATCAGGAGGTGCCACGGCAGAAAGCTATATCCTGCTCATGAGGCTAGGAGGCGGCCGGTTTATGCATTCTAATGAGCGCTCCCTGGGAAAAATATGCAAATTCATTTTGTCATCAAGAGGAAAATAGAGGACAGGAGAGGAGCAGATACAGGAGGGGCTTAAGGGAGGAGGGCACATGCAAGAGGCGGGATTGGGTGGAGGGAGATCTGTGTGTGCATGTCTGTGTGTGTGTGTTGGGGGGGCACAAGAGCAGGAGGTGTTTAGAGCTGGGCTGTATTATAGAACCAGAGGGACATGTGTAAACCCCCATCCGGCCAACTCCACCCTTCTACCCCTCAAGAAGCCACATCTACTACAAAAACAAAAATAGTCAGCCTTGTTTAAAAAACAGATAAATAAACTACAGACAACATGAGGGAGGAAATTATACAGGCTAGTATTTTAAAATAGTAGTAGTAGTATATCAGGGGAATCACTGAATTACTGAAATAGCAGAACATAAAATTTGGCTGACCAGTTTAAACTGATAATCAGTCCATCGTTTGGTCTCAAATAAACTTTTTTTTTTTTTTTTACAGTTTTCACACAAATGTGAGCTGTTCTGATTAACTCAGAGTAAAGCAGTATAAAACCACTGTGTGATGGCCAATGACAGTATTAATGTGGGGTAAATGAGCATCTAATAAAAGTGCAATTATTGTTATTGCTATTATTATTATTAGTTATTATTTTCTAATTATTATTATTAATTATTATTTAGCTGTTATTATATTAATTATTATTTAGTAATTATTATATTAATTATTATTTAGTAATTATTATATTAATTATTATTTACATCAATGATATTATATAATAATTAATTATTATTGTAATAATTATTATTACAAATCGTACTGAAACTTTGAAATACAATTATTATTATATTTTTAGCCTACTTTTAGGCTGTTTATATATTTCACTTTTAAAAACATGCCATGCAACGTTTATATTCCCTTTCTAAAATGATGCCTTCGAATACAAGAAATACTAATAATTACTTTGGCCAATCACAGTTCATTAACGATAAATAAGCAACGTTATTAAATGCACCTTATGTTTGAATACGTTCACGTACTCGCACTGATGAGTCCTGGCTGTACTGGCAGTGGCACACAAACATCCAGTACCAACATGAACAATAACCTGAACACGAGATACTGCAGTTCACTTGAACTACCGAGTGGGGGCCGGCGGAACCTTTGTTCGAGAGCTGTGGGGGGAAGACAAAGGCCGCCGCACAAGCGCCGGCGAGCGGAAGAAGATCGTTTGTCACACGAACTGGCAGAAGGATGCACATGGACTCTCTCCGCAGGCACGGATCAATAAATACAGCTCCGTGTGGATGGATCCCGTCGATCAGCGTCGTCATATACGATACACTTTAAAATCGGTGACGGTACGTGTGTTTTTTTTATTCACGAGAACTGAAAGTAAGACTCCACGTAGCGACTGAGACCAGTTCCCGGCTAATCGGCTAACGTGTTAGCGTGCTGGCCGCCAGGTCCAGAGGTTTTTGTGTTCAGTGTGTATCTGCACAGCACGGCTGGTTTCAACAGAAGTGATTATAGGTGTAATGTGTTAGCGTGCTAATGCGGGAAAATGCGTTATATTCTCACATCATTCTGCTCCTAAATGGGCTTTAGGTTGAGTGCGTTGATGTACTGTATTTGACTTTTAGAGCTGTCTCTACACTCAAGTGTTCACCAGCTTCATATTCTGCCCTTATGTGCCGCTGTCTCACAATGTGCGCTAATCCTAACACATAATTACCAACTTTTTGCGTGTTGTTTAAACAGTTCAGTGCGCAGACTCGTTCAGCAGAGAGCTGTAGCTGCTCTGGTGGCCCCACGTGTGAGCTTTGTGTAGGAGAACAGGGAAACTGCTTGGATCCTATTTATTTCCTGATATATTCTGGATATTAGCAGAAAGGGTTAATGTTAAAGATCACTCATACTCCTTGCCATCTTAAAAACTCTTAACCTTATGTACATTTGGACTAGAACTGTAGACCAGTGTGGAGTAGAGGTGGACTGTATGAAGAAAGTCTTGTAACGTGAAATATACAATGTTATGTTTTTATTGTTTTCCAGAAATTCAAATCAGAGGTTCTTTTTAAACACACTGTTAGAGTGAATTGAATACCTGACAGATGAAGGTACTTTATAACATAGATTCAAACTTTTTGCTCATCGATTTGCAACATTGCCTGCAATATAACCAGGGAATGAATGGAACGGAAAGTTATTTCTGTACAAACAACATTAAAAAAAAGTCTTTGGCCACTAATTTCTATTGTCTCAGTATCAACCTACGGTGCATCTTCATGTACCTTCATAACCCTTTAGGCATTGAGTAACATGCCCTATGTGGTGCGTTATTTCTCTCCTCAGCTCCTCCGCAGGTGGGCCAGGTTGCAGTGACATGGTAGTATTTGTTGAATGGCACCGGACCGCTATGGACCAGACGAGCAGGAGTGGTTTGCCAATGACTGGTGAAGACACTGGTTTGGGGGCTTTGGCCTCACCACTGGCGGGGTATTTGGGAAAAGTCAGTAGAGCTCCTGTTTTCCTCTCACTGTTGTCACTTGCGCAAAGCTGAATTGAATTTGAAAAAAATACTGTGACTGGGCAGTACCAATCCAAATTCAACCAAAAAAAAAAAAAACCACAAACCAAAACACAAATGGAAATCTTTGGTAGTAAAAGGCGAAAGTTTTTGGTAAGCTTGATGCTTATAATGATGTGTGAAGTCAAAGACTGATCTATATAAAGTATTGTTCTATGAGGAACTGTGTACTACATAGAAAATAGTTTTTTAAGTTTATCTATTTGAAAGAAAACAATGGTTCAATATCACTGTTTTTTAAGTGTCATGTACTTGCCTACTGATTCTAATTAAATTCCTCTTCACATGTGCCATTCAGCCGATTTCGATGAGCAGAAATCTGCAGGCAAAGTAAAAAAAAAAAAAAAGCAACCATTAAAATCTCTTTCAGCACTTCTTACTCTTACTTGTATGCTCCACATCTGCAAGGTAAATTGAGTAAAACCTTCCTTTTGTTACTCTAATGCATGTGTACTGAAGAATTGAAATGTGATTAGAAGAAAAGAGAGAAAGATGCTGAAATATGGCAGTGAAGCTGGTAAAATAAAGAAATGTATATATTTGAAATATATGCAGGCTAAAATTATATGTTGAAACTTAGATGTCCATATTTGCCTGTTCTTTAAAACTGTTTAATATCTTGGGTTCAAATGTGAAATGATGGAAAAAAAAA